TAGGTACTTTGAAGCTAAAGTTTTAGTTATTAATGGTATGTTTGCTCCCTTAGATTCTAGATGTAGACCCTAACGAATATGGCGAGGAAGACGGAGCCAACGTCGACCTGGACTCACAGCGGAAGGGCAAGTGTGCCGTCATCAAGACCTCCACCAGACAGACCTACTTCCTACCCGTAATTGGCCTGGTCGATGCCGAGACCCTCAAGCCCGGTGACCTCGTGGGTGTCAACAAAGATTCGTACCTGATTCTGGAGACGCTCCCGGCGGAGTACGATTCCCGTGTTAAGGCCATGGAGGTCGACGAGAGGCCCACCGAACAGTACAGCGACATTGGTGGTTTGGACAAACAGATCCAGGAGTTGATTGAGGCTGTTGTCCTGCCTGTCACACACAAGGAGCGTTTTGAAAATCTAGGTATGAAATAAACTATGTAGAGTACTTTATAAAAGATGAAAATGAAATGTTTTTAGTCACAGAACTCTTTATCTTTTGGTATTTGAAGTATGAGAAGAAATCTTTTTCTCATGAGGTGAAGAAAGAAAAATTGTATATACTTTGTCATGGAATTTAATGGTAATCTGTGTTTTAGGCATCCAGCCACCTAAGGGAGTACTGCTATATGGCCCTCCGGGTACTGGTAAGACGCTCTTGGCTCGTGCTTGTGCTGCCCAGACAAAGTCCACCTTCCTGAAGCTGGCCGGCCCACAGTTGGTGCAGATGTTCATCGGTGATGGTGCTAAGCTGGTTAGAGATGCCTTCGCTCTGGCCAAAGAGAAGGCCCCAGCTATTATTTTCATTGATGAATTGGATGCCATTGGTGAGTATTGTGTCTGCTGGGTTGAGTAGTGGGTTCTGTTGTTAGTCTGATCTGTATTGTGTACTTTTTAAGTTGTTCTGAGTCATGTCTTGGGTCTCGGCATCCCTTTTGGTGGATTGAATTACTTTGGCCAGAATTCCTCTACATTCCAAATGTATAGTAACATAAGTCTATAGATTGATAGCTTCAGTAATTAGCTATTGCATTATTACTATGTAGTTTTTACAATTTATTTCTTTGACAGGTACCAAGAGATTCGACAGTGAAAAGGCTGGTGATCGAGAAGTACAGAGAACTATGTTAGAACTGTTGAATCAGCTTGATGGTTTCTCGTCAACAACAGACATCAAGGTTAGTGTAGTGGTTATTCAGTAATTGTAATCATTACTACACACCTCTAGTGTACCTGTGTATTTTCTCTTTTCAAACTCTCATACGACTCTCTGTTGGCCAGGTTATCGCAGCTACCAATCGTGTTGACATTCTGGATCCTGCCTTGCTGAGATCCGGTCGTCTGGACAGGAAGATCGAGTTCCCCCACCCCAATGAGGAAGCCCGTGCCCGCATTATGCAGATCCACTCGCGCAAAATGAACATCTCCTCCTGTGTGAACTTCGAAGAGCTGGCCAGGTCGACAGATGACTTCAATGGAGCTCAGTGCAAGGCTGTGTGTGTGGAAGCTGTAAGTAGTGCCCTTTCTGTAGCTACATGAGAAATTGTTGGATTGGCTTGTTACTCACTCTCTCCCTCCCTCACTCATTCTCTCCCTCTCTCTCCTCCCTCCCTCACTCTCTCCCTCTCTCTCCTCCCTCCCTCACTCTCTCCCTCTCTCTCCTCCCTCCCTCTCTCCCACTCTCCCTCTCTCTCCCTCACTCACTCATTCACTCTCTCTCCCTCCCTCCCTCCTCCCTCCCTCCCTCTCTCCCTCCCTTCCTCTCGCCCTCCCTCCCTCCCTCCCTCCCTCCCCCCCTGCTCCTTCCTTCCTTCCTTCCTTCCTTCTCTCCCTCCCTCCCTCCCTCCCTCCCTCCCTCTCTCCCTCCCCCCTCCCCCCTCTCTCTCCCTCTCTCCCTCTCTCCCTCCCTCTCTCCTCCACTTGCCTGTCACAATTGGAGTAATCCTTCAAATCCTCACAAATAAGCCATGCTCACAAGTCCATTTTTCTCTTCCTCCCCCAGGGTATGATCGCCCTCCGAAGACAAGCGACGACGGTGACCCACGAGGACTTCATGGACGCCATCATGGAGGTCCAGGCCAAGAAGAAAGCCAATCTCAATTACTATGCTTAATTTCATTCAGTGTAGTGGCCCTCCTTGTATAGGAATTTGTCTGTAATGTAATTGATATATAAAAAAATTCTTGGCAATTTTTTTTTTCTTTTATTTCATTCTTTGTTATATATATATTTTTTTCATTTTCTGTACTGGTTGATGTCATTTGTATTTTTATTTTTTATTTTTCATATATATCTTTAAGAGAAGATAGAAGTCCTTCTTTATCCTCCCAGGGTGTGCATGTGCGAAAGGAGAAAAATTTAAATACTGTACGTCAATTTTTTTCCCCCTTTAATAAATATTTATTTTGTAGAGCAATATGCATATTACATAGGGACATGATGATGAAATTCTATGTCAGGTCTCTGGTGTTTCAACTTGTAATAAAAAAGATATGTAAAAGAAGAAA